GAGCAGAGCAGGCGGGAGAAGGGGCACCCGGCAGGATTTCAGACTGGGGGCTGGAGGAGAGACTGTGCGCAGGCTTCAGCTGCCCCAAGAGTGGCGAGCCCTGGTTGCCCATAGGCATCTCTGACAAACGTGATGGTCTCTGCCCTTGACTGTCCACTCTGGAGATGTGCTGGGTATGGGAGGCTGCGCAAAGGAGGCACATGGGGAGAGCAATGACCCACAGCACAGAGCCGGGGCTGCCCTTCCTGGCGAGGGCGGGAGGCTGCGTGTTCCCATGCCCCAGGCTGGCGTTTGGGGAGGGAGCTGAAAGGTAAACTCATTGGGGTAATTCCAGAAGCAGCAACCTGTTTTGCTTGGATCTGGGTTCAAATGGCAAACGGAGCTCCCGAGTGTCCCGAAGCCTGGGCTTGTTTGGTTTCTCTGCTGGTTATAAACAGAACTGCTGTTTACAGCACTCGCCTCTCCATCCTGGCGTGGATTTCAAACGCCCTTGTCCTTTGGGGCTCTTCCAAGCGCTGCCGCTATCAGGCACAAGTGCGCGGCTGCTGCGGGAAGCAGCTGGGCCCCCGGCTGAGCATCCTGCAGCGGGCGGTGGCAGCAGCCAGGGCTCTGCCTGGCTTTGCTGGCTGGTCTCAGCCACGTCCTCTGCCCTGTGCCTCCCTTCCCTATGCCTGGAGGGAGGAGTGGCACCAGCTCCCTTTGCTGCTGCATTTAGAGGCCTGTGGGTGCAAAGGGTTAACTGTGGTTGTTTTCTCCCCAGTCCAAGCACATGCTGAAGCAAATTAATCTCTGGGTTACAGGCTGTCCTGCTCCAGGGCCCATGTCAGTCATTAATGGAGGGTGATGAAGATGCGTGTGACATCCATCATTCCGGAGCTGCCTGTTCCAGGTTTACCTGTGTCACTCTCCGAGATAGGAGAGCGGAGAAACTGCCTAAGGAAAACCAGCAATTTTTGGTAAGGAGTTTTGAAAAATGCTGCAAAACATCACCTCAGTCTCTCCTTCCCTTGAGACATGATCTGAAATGTTTCCAGCTTTTGAAAAAACATTTTCCTTAAAAAAAAAACCAACTCCCCCAAATAGGCAAACAAACAAAAAATAAAGTCTCTAAAACTTTACATTTGGATTAAAATATGCATATTCATATGTGCAGATATACGATATACACACACACATATACATGCATATACAAAAGGAAGGTTTTTTTCAAGGGCTTTGGGGCCAGGGTGGCGGGCTAGTGGCCGTCCCCATCTGCAGCGCTGGATCTGTCCGGTGAACACCCGTGGCCAGGGAAGGCAAAGGGGAAGGCACAGAGGCTGGACAGGGCCAGCTGCTTGCTCAAGGACCGTTTGGGGCTGGAAGGGCCCAAGCCCAGCCAGCCGGTCCACTGCCACGGGAAGGCCCCCAGTCCCAGCCGGGGCAGCGTGGGGAGGGGGCAGCGGCAGCAGGCAGCTCTGGGATGGCGCAGGGTGGGGATAGGAGTGAGCCTCTGGTGCCCACCACCTTGCCCCCGCCCTGGCTGCTGCCAGCATGCAGCAAGTAAATAACACAATTAATAAAAGATTAGGATGAAATGTGAGGCATTAAATATTTAACCTTGTGCCTGCCTGTGCAGCGCCCAGGTACAGCTGGTTCTTGCAATATTTAAGGATGGTTCCTCACTCCCCCTTCGCCACCCCCAAATGTGGTGACTTGACGGCAGCCTGCGGCTGGGGGGCCGTGGTGGGCGAGGAGGGATCGTGGGGGACGGGGAAAGGCCCCTCGGTGGGGCGGGAGGGGCTCCCGGGGCACGGCGCTTGGCCGCAGAGCGGCGGGGCTAGGGAAGGCCGGGAGAGCCGCCGGGGGCCC